TCTTCTTCCTCCCTCACACAGAAACCGGTTACATCCCAAACACCACCATCACCTCCATTCATACACACACAACCACACAGTACACCCATTCCACCATCAAACACTGACTAATAGTCGTCACTAGCTCCCTACCTCATGCCCATACAAAAATTTTGAAACCCCAATTATCACTGTGAAAATAATTCAATTGCAAAAAACTAAGGAAAATTGTAACCAATTGTTTACATAAACACCACACACACATACACATAGAGCAAGATAGGGAAAACCTTTATTTACTTTTTCTCTCGCCATTCTCTCTTCGTGCCAACTGACATATAAGTTATGTGTTTAGAGCATGGGTACAGGGCCGACCCTATAACTAAGCCGAAGAAGCGATCGCTTTAGGCCCCATCTAAAATGAAGGCTCCATTTATTATTAGTTTTTAATATGATCCAAACCAAAAAATTAAACTCAAATAAAATTGAGTCTAAGCAAAAAAATCANTCTCTTCGTGCCAACTGACATATAAGCTAAGTGTTTAGAGCATGGGTACAGGGCCGACCCTATAACTAAGCCGAAGAAGCGATCGCTTTAGGCCCCATCTAAAATGAAGGCTCCATTTATTATTAGTTTTCAATATGATCCAAACCAAAAAATTAAACTCAAATAAAATTGAGTCTAAGCAAAAAAATCGTATGTAGTTCAAACTAACAAAAGATTTCTAACAAAACCGGGCCCAAAAGTGTTTGTAGCATACCAAATTAAAAGGCTCACAACCTATTTGGTTAAAAACATGAAATTTTAACAAAAACAAAAAAAAAATATCTAACTGTCACAAGCAAAAATGAAAAAGTCAATAAGCAATACCATTAATTACTCTTTTTAACCGGTCAATTACATCAATCAAACACACACACACACACACTCTCTCCTACGTCTCTCCTTTTAAAACATTAACCCCCTCTCTCTCTTACACACACAAAAAATTAATTTTTATTTCCAACTAAAAACAAAATAAAGGATTTCCTCTCACCTTTGCCTTGTGACCACCTTTCTAATTCACACAAGGTCATCAAATCAGCCCTGGTATATTATTTTATACGCACACTTTCTCTTTTTCAATGTTATTTTGTACAAAATATAGTTTCAATCAATTTATTCATATTATAAAATTCTACGTTTTAGGAACACTAATGATAAAATTAAGTGTTATTGCTTTATAATTTTGATTTTTATTAAGTNTCTCACCTTTGCCTTGTGACCACCTTTCTAATTCACACAAGGTCATCAAATCAGCCCCGGTATATTATTTTATACGCGCACTTTCTCTTTTTCAATGTTATTTTGTACAAAATATAGTTTCAATCAATTTATTCATATTATAATATTCTACNGCCCTGGTATATTATTTTATACGCACACTTTCTCTTTTTCAATGTTATTTTGTACAAAATATAGTTTCAATCAATTTATTCATATTATAAAATTCTACGTTTTAGGAACACTAATGATAAAATTAAGTGTTATTGCTTTATAATTTTGATTTTTATTAAGTTTTTTATAGAGAGTATATGATTGATTTATAAAAAAAAATTGGATTGTCAAAAAATTGTGGCTACTAAAAAACAACAATTCAGATATAAGAAACTTTAAAAAAGAGAGAAAAATATAAAAACTTATTGAATCATAAAAAAAAATCTCTAAATAAATTTAGTATGTAGTAATAAAAAAATAACAAAAGATTTAAGTGAAAGTTTTGAAATAAACAAGTGATAGATCTTAAATAATTAAAAGATATTGAAATTATATGATGAAACAATAACAAATAAAATTTTTATAATAGTGGTCGAAAATGTAATATAATAATTCTTGATCATGAAGAACATATAAAAAAAATATTAGTAATTTTTAATTTTAAATAATAAAATAGATAAAAAATTATATTAATAATAAAAAATAAAACCCAATTAAAATCCTCGCTTTAGGCCCAAAACAGCTCGGGCGGTGTTCAACGATGAGAGATGGTAAAAATGGGGGATGGTTTGGTGATGGCTGGTGAGGGTGGGTCTTATGCAATATTGAAGATTGACTATGCAAAAGGATTACACTAAGTTTAGTGGTAAGAATGATTTGACTATGCAGAAGGATATGATTGTACATATATTATAGTTAATATAGTTCGTACGAACGATATGCGATCCATAAATATATTTTTTGTCATTTTTTTTTTAATTTTGCTTAAGAAGATAAATAAAAAAATATAACACTAAATGATTTAATAAAAAAATTATGCAAACAAAATTTAAAAATAGTGGGTAGTTAGTGAGGAGTTAAGAGGTGATTACAAAAGACACATGGTAGAGTATGATTGAAAGAAGGATTAGTGTGATAATTGAAAAAAAAATAGAAACTCTAAGAAATTAGAAAATGTGGAGGAAATACTTCACAAGGTTTTTCTTTTCTCTTCTAATTTATTTGTTTTACATATATAGATAGATAGATTATATAATATATTTTCATTATATGGTAAGTGTATAATAATATATTTATTGTATATATGTATTATATATTAAGTGGATAATATGTGAGATATACATTTATATGTGTACTAGTAATACACCATGTGCGTTGTACGTAGATAAGTCCTTTTGAGTAATCCTATACTAACTAAAATTAGGAACAAAAAAAATGATCAAATGAGATGAAGATTAACGTGGAAAGCTGATTAGACAAGATTAATTCACTTCTTTCCTTGATTTGCACAATGTGGGTATTCAACCATGAAGAGTATTTGCATAATAAACTCTCCACGTCAGCCGCCATATCATTTGGTCAGTCTTTTTTATTCTTAATTTTGGTCAATGTAACATTACTCTAAGTTTTTTAGACAAATTAATAAATAAATATTTAGTATATATGTATTTGAATTAAACATTATTTCAAATTTACCAAATTTATTTTTTCCTCGCCCATACTCTACTATAGAATTTGTGAAAATTTTGTATGTTCCTAAGATTTGTTATTCTAACTTTAAGAAAAAAGATAGAAAAATCGATAAGAAATAATAGAAGTTCTATTTTTTTTCTAGAATTTTATAATTGAAAGTAATTTTTTAGTAATGTTTGAAAAATAAATTTGATTAAGATTTCACTTATAGATCATTGAATAAAATAAAAATAATTATTAATATACCAATCATATTGAAATCTTGTTGTATTTAGGATTTGTTGGGTCAATTGGAATAAGATTTAATATACTATGCTATAATATGTATTAGTAAACATATTAAAATTTTTAAAAAAATTCAAGTACAATCTATTTTCATATAAAATCTTAATACAATTTGAAAAGTTTACTGTGATCGAAGAATCATGTAAAACTATATATATATATATATATATATTATTTTTTATCTTAAAAATGAAATGATTAAATATTTTAATAAAATATAAATATGTAGTCATAGTATTATCCAATGTTATCAGAACCGGACCGGTCATCGAACCGGCAAGGGGACCGGGTCAATGGTTCACTGGTTCAA